CGGAGCCGGAGTACTTCATTGCGCTGAACATCGGCCCTAAAAGAGGAACGGTAGCTCTTAATTTAAACTAACTCAATATAGGGGTAAGTCTTTTTTTTAATAGATTGGCAAACGACCAGACGGATTACCTGATGGTAAGTAATCAGCGCCGCCCATAGACACCCGCAACGCAGGAGTTACGAGTGCGTTGCCGACCTTTTAGGGATTAGGGATTTGGAGATTTAGGGATTGGGGAAGGGTCCGGGAAGGGGAAGGATTGGGCCTCCGGTAACCTCACTCACACGGCGAAACACAACGCTGTGGTTGTTTCACGCCGGTATTCTGTGAGGCCGTGGTATCACTCCGGTCGAGCCGACCCGTTCGTGCCGAAGCATGGCTCTCCCACACTTGTGGGAGACCATAACAATACTCCCACAATGTGTAAGTATTATTATGGTTTTGTTGAACTTTTTTTGTTGATGGAGTAAAATCATGAGGGACTGTCAGACTCTTACTGACTAAAACTCACCCGGTACCTACTGCTGCTCAAAACTGCTCTCCTAAAAAACGGTAGATCTCATTTTCAAATAGGGGAAAGTCATGAGATTTTATTAATTTTAGCTTTTAAATGTTTTAAATAAAAATACGTAATATAAACAGCAAAACAGCTACAACAATAGTTGCTTCGTATCTGGCTGTGATGCGCACGTAAATTAAATGTATGTTACATCCACAACACAATGAGATGTATAGAGATGAGTCCTCGAGTAATGCAACAATTACTTAAACGAAAAAGCCGTTACTAATCGCGATCGTCACAATTAAATTCCAAATTTTAATTTAAAAGATACTACTGGACTAATTAAAGATGTAGGTAATACAGCACGTTTAGCCGGGGTCGCAGGTCTAGCCAGAAGCAGAAGAAGGGACGAAGGTGTGAGGAGTCAGGCACTCCATCTCGGCATACCCTAGGCGTGAGATATGATTTGATGATTTTCCCTTCACAAAAAAGGGACTATGATGATCGGCAGATTCCAATTATCATCAGCACCCCGAAAGTTCATCGCGCTCGAAGTCATTACATAAAGTCTAGGTTAGGTCACCAGATTAATCCTAGGTTATCAGACGCGATAAGACTAAAGTTGTATATTATGAAAAAGATAATCATAAATAATCTTGGCCAGGGAGATACTAGATAAGGTACAAAGTTCTTGGATGTACTCTAACTCTGTGATTGAGCGTTTTTTAAAGGGTGGAAAATATTCCAGTACGGTACGGTAGTTTCCAACATGTCAAATTCAATACTTTTATGTCAAATGTCAAAAACGATACGTTTTCTATGAAATTTGTATGAAAAACTGAGTTATGACGAAAATTATTTTACTCATTTCTCGAAAGTATCTAAAATTCAGTGTATCGATCGATCGATAAATAAAAGTACCTATAGTTATTTTTCAATATTATTTTGTATTGAAACGTCGAATTTATTTATTTTTGACCTAGGAAACTATTTCCCATTTATTTCCCTGTCTTGGGTGGGGCAAGAGGGAGTATCAGACTCTTATCGACAAAAACTCACCTCGTTCCTTCTCCTGCTTTGGGCCAAAACGCTGTTTCATTCACAACAGCAACTCCGGCTGGTCCCAATGACGATATAACCACTTATATTCTCTTTGACATAGCCCTATTGAAGCACCCGCAGAACGCGAATTAGGCTGGGCTAACCCTAGAATTTTTTAAAAATGTATATATGTAAAAACTTTTGTCACTCTATCGGCATTTACTTCTTCACATTTCTATCTGTACCCGTTCTCATCCCAGTCTCTAATCCTGGAATCCCTAACCCTAAAATGACTGACAACACTCTAGTGACAATTTAAGATTTCACCGATTGGTGGCCCTTTGGTGGTACTGATTGCTTACCATCAGGTAATGCGTGACAAAGGATTGGCAAACTGAAGCGCCAGTAGGCGTGTCCTAGAGTGGGGACCACGTCAAAGCAAACGTCTAGTGTAGGGCGCCCTCCAGCTGGTAGACTGACGACATCCGCAAGGTTGCTGCTGGCAGTGGTTGGATGAGAAGAGCTGAACATCGAGCTCAGTAGACGGAATCAAACCGTTTGCCGCCTTATTCCATGAAAAATCTTAAATAAAGTATTTTGTAACCTTTCATTACCTTTGGATCTAGACTAAAGACTACCTAAATAATAATAAGGATGTCTACCAATTAAAATACTACTGAACAAATCACGCTGCAGATAGTTTAGCTTATAAAGTTATAGATGGCGCTCTGTCCAAGTCTAATCGGCAGAAGTCCGATGTTTGCCGACTTGATGACGTGCGTTCAAGCAAGTAATTATATTAATTAAGTACTTCTAATTACGTATTCAATATAGATATTACCTTGTTATGTTGCTGAGAGGTAATATTAAGTGTTTATTGTTAGATTTTTTATGTTAATATCAGTAATAAAGTTGTTTATATTGTGTTTGTAGTGATTGGCAATTGTCAAAGGAATTACAATCGCGTTGCTGGGTATTCAGGAAACTGTTCCATTAAGCTTTAATTTTCAGGGAGCCGCTTTTCCAAATTACATTAGCTAATCTAAATATTTAATAAATGTTTATTGAGAGTAGGCATTTTTTTCAATTACTTCAACCTTTTAGAGTGCATTTTTTGGGAGGATCATATGTTTTGTTTCCCCCTAGGTGGGGCGAAAGAAGGTGGTCTAGCGCCAGACCAACCAATAATAAGTAATAAGTGTATGTGTTCAATAAAGTATAATTATATAAATAAAAATAAATCGATAGGTACAAACTTTTATTTAGCAAAATATGCTACAACTAGCGACATCTATGTTATGCAATGTGTCCCTGAAAGAAGAACAATTTGTGTAGAGTCAGGCACATAACAAGTTCTAGTCAAATTCATTTTTTTTTTGTTTTGTCATAATTGTCATAATCGAAGTAATTTTTTTCTAGCTTATTGTCACCCGAGGAGTTGCAAGTGCGTTGCCACTGCTGCTAATCCCCCATTTGGGGATTAGGCATTCGGCGATTTTGGGATTGGGCAAAGATGGAGGGAGGGGAAGGATTGGGCTCCGGTAACCTTACTCACAAGGCGAAACCCAACGCTGTGGTTATTTCACGCCGGTTTTCAATGCTCTTCCACACTTATTGTGTGATACTGATTGTATATGATATGTAACTTTTTTACTCCTCACTAATGCTAGAATTGGAACCCCTCAGTCAGGCCTCTGGACATAAAGAGTCACATCATCAGCATATAAGTGCCCACTGCTGGGCAAAGATCTCTTCTCACATTAATCACCAAGCTTGCTCAAGGGGGATTGAAGATTTAAAACTACAAATTCCAAGTTTTATCACGATGTTTTCCCTTACCGTTTGTCAGTGGTGTCTAAATAATCATAGACAATACATATAACTCGGTACTTGGTACTTGCAACGTTCCGAACTCGCACCCTCATGCATAAAAAGCGGGCGCCTTAACCTCCGGGCTACACGACGAGCATGAAGAGTCACAATATATTATATATTGGCATGTTAACCTTTTAATGGTTGTGTTGATAATCACTGATAGCTTATCATAGCAACATTACTAGCGGTGTCGTAAGCAGGTCACAGCCGCTAAGTGCATCGCTCCCATGCGGCGAAAGCGTGGGGGTTCATACCTAATACATTACGTATTATTTGTTTATGTTCAATGGTCAGATTAATCTAATCTTATTACAGTCTATATATACGAACCTTGTATAATAAATGAAGGCGTGACGGTAATTGAAGATACTGATACTTGTACAAATAAATTAATACGTCAATGCTCCTGTCGCTCCTCTGATCCCCGACGCCCGCAATGTCGCCTACTGCGGCGGCTGGGGCTCGAGGAGGATAGTTCCCTCACGCGCTCCGCCCCCTCCTATGCAAGCATCACTGCTTCGCAGAAAGAAAAGACGGCTTCAAGGTTGCTCTCGCTACGAACCATGGCCGCGACTAAGACTGGGCGCGAGAAATCGCCGCCGCCGATTACTTCCACGAGGACACGGCGGCGCTCAGTCCAGGCAGGGCACACCGCCACCGTATGCTCTACCGTGTCCTCTAGGTGGTCCTCACGTTGAGGACACTCGGGCGTTTCCTCCCGCTGAATCCGAAACAGGAACCTACCGACCGTGCGCCTGACGCGTGACCTGCGTCAGGCGGAATATGAGGACGCCGCGCCTTGGAGTCTCTCAAGCTACTCCTGAAAGAGGGGTTTGCTGCTATAACAGCGTGCCCGGCCCTCGGTTGCGACAGTCGCTGCTTCCTCCTATGGTGTTGCAGGTGCCCTTGGGCGACGCCGATCGCTTACCATCAGGTGATCCATCAGCTCGTTTACCTCCTATTTCATAAAAAAGAATCCAAACCTAAATACGCTTCGAGTAGGATGTACTTACATAATCAATTCTGTTTCAAACAACTTCAGGTGATGTCTAAATATTCAGGCTATCATTCCTTAAACAATCACTCTCGCGAGAGCTGTTCTGCGAGCGCCCCAAGGATCTTATAGACGACTACAGATGGGACCCAACAATTGGCGGATGTTTAGCCGGAGTTAGCGCAATAAGGTACCTCCTGGATGGCAGGCTGCTTCTTAGTCAGTAATTGTCTGACACTCTTTTATCACCCCACCTTGCGCGAAAAAATGCATATACATATACATAGGTAGTCATTGATATAATTCAGTTAAGTATATTACTTTGTAAGACACGACGAAATTTTAAAAATACGCAACTTGATTTAAAACCTCAAATCACGACCTACGTGAAAGCAAAAGCCAAACAACGACTCTAAAATTAAAAATATAAAACAGTAAAAATAAACGTCAACCCCCATCTGTCATCGCCATTTTTTTCTCTGTTTACACAAAAAATTTACGCCGACAACGTAACGCAACAAAATGCACATTAGCTACAATAATATAAAATTGTTCCGTGTGAATGTACCGAAATTAACGTAAAAAATAATCATGGCGTGTCATACGAAGATCATCAATAAAATGAAAGAAGAAGAACTGGCTATCAAGGGAGACCACTTATTGGGGCCGAGTGTGGAATCAAAATTTGACGAATTAAAATACGAAGTGATACATAAGATTGATAAAGAACTGACTGACTCTCAGAACGCTAGAGATTTTATTTCTCAAAAATATGACGAACTCTGCAGCAAAATACAGTATCTGACGGAGTTAGACGCTACTGTAACTGGTTTTCGAAGTGATGTCAAGGCTATTGAGAAACAAATCACTGAGCTATCTTTGAGGGTCGATGACATTGAGAAGAAAACTATTTGTAGAGAATGTCCTTCGCTGACGTCATCCATGTATTGAGTTATGAATAAATTTTGTTGTTTTTTACCCCTTCTTAGGTACCTTTTATTTCTTGCCCCTTTTTAAACCTAAACAAACAGGTGATAGTGTCCAAAGTCATGTAGCGTAGATCGGCAGACAAGAAAGAAAGAAAGAGAAAGAAAGAGAAAGAAAAAAATATTTCACGCTAAAAACAAGTGACATGTGCATACAGGTAATTAAGACATTCTGTTTGGAAATATTAATTGATACATGTTAATGTAATAATGTCCCAAGTCTCCCGTGAAATGGGACCAGTTCAGCATGTGCAAGACAGAGCCTTCCGCTGGTATTCTTCAAACAAGCAGACGGATTACCTGATGGTAAGTAATCGACGTACATTATCCAACCCTTCCAGTGAAGTGGCTTTTAAGATTAATAAGTTTGTCAAGAGCTGTCTCAATCAATAACATGCTTCTTACAGTACGGTCGACGTATCTTGGCAAATTGTCTGCGCAATGGATCTTTTAGGAACAAAATTGTGTACTGCGCAGCTAATCGGCTAACTACAGACTCGCCAAGATACGTTGACGGTATTGTACTCGTGAGCATTTTGTATATCTATTAGGAATAGTTCAATTCATTTTTCTCTTTTTATATTATTTTTAGCACAATGTGTACTGTGTTTAATAACAGTTGTGTTAATAACTGTGTTTAATAGAGTTATAACCACAAGGCTCTTAAAAAAAAGGTAAAAAATAGTAATCGACGCCGCCCATAGCTACCCGCAATACCAAAGTATTTACTATTATAAGTGCATTGCCAGCCTCATGTCTATACCAATATTATAAAGAGGTAAAATTTGTAAGTTTGTATGTAGGGGGTAATCTTTGGAACCGCTGGACGGATTGCCAAAATTCTTTCACTGATAGGTAGCTACAATGTTTCTGAGTGCTATAGGCTATAAAACACCACGCTACGATCAAATGGAGCCGAGCAGCGGGTAAAACCGCGCGAGAGTAGCTAATGGGTTATAAAAAGAATTGAGGATTAAGGGTGAGAGGAAGGGTTGTCTTGTGTCTCCGGTAAACTCAATAACAGGGCGAAATACAACGAAAACGTTAGTGTTGTATTACGCTGGTATTCTGTGAGGCCGTTGTCACAAGCAAGGCCTAAAAATTAAAAAACAAAAGAGGGTCAATGGGTCCTGAAAGTCATACTGACTGCACGGTTGGTGCGGTGGCTGGGCAACTGGCTGCCGTGCAACGTGTCGAAGGTTCGATTCCCGCACGGAACAACTCTTTGTGTGACCCACAAATTGTTGTTCCGGGTCTGGGTGTCATGTGCATGTGTTGTATGTTTGTAACCGCACCCGCACCCACGACACAGGAGAAAATCGTAATGTGAGGCAACGTTTTTAAAAAATACTCATTTATTCTAACTAAACCATAAAATGGTGCTTTTAAAACGAACTCACTTATGGGACATAACTTTTTACTGGATTTGTACTGTCGTGGTGGCCCGGAGGTTAAGAAGCCCGCTTCTCATTCATGAGGGTGTAGGTTCGAAACCTGGCAAGTACCAATGTGACTTTTTCCGACTTATATGTACTTTCTAAGATTATTTAGACACCACTGACATATGGTGAAGGTAAACATCGTGAGGAAACCTGGACTTATAATTTATAATTATAAGTTTGAAATCGCCAACCCGCATTGAGCAAGCGTGGTTAGCTCTAACCTTCTCTGTATGAGAAGAGGCCTTTGCTCAGTAGTGGCCACTTATAGGCTGATGATGATGAACAATCTTTCAAATCGATCAAGTAGTTTCAGAGCATATTAAATTTAAGTAAACAATCAAATCTTTCCTCTTTATAATGTTAAAATTGATTATAATATTAGATATTAATATAAAGTTTTGCCGTGTGTGTAATACCTCCCCAATCCCACAATCTCCAAATCCCTAATCCCATAAGTTCGGCAACGCACTCGTAACTCCTCGATTGTTACGGATGTCCATGGGCGGCGCTGATTGCTTACCATCAGGTAATCTGACTGCTCGTTTGCCGACCTATCATTTAAAAAAAACAATTCTTTATTTAAATAAAAATCCAACATTCTTGGCAGTTTTCATTATTTAATTACATAATATTTAGCATCCATTAAAATATTTTATCGCATACAAATTAAAAGTTTTTTTCAACAAATGATCAGCGTGGCTAGGTAGCTACGTATTACAAAATATTTTTTGGCACTTAATTGTATTATCCTTAATTATATAGTTACAAATTAATTTATAAAACAAAAATATTAGGTAACATTTGTCTAAAAATAAACTATTAGGCCAGCTAAAAGTTTATAACAATAAAATCTAAAATATGAATAACAATAACAAATAAATAAATAAATTAAATTAACATGACAATTTATTTGTAATATTAAGTAAATATATAATAATTTGTTCGATTTGTTCATCACAATTAAATTGCTGTGTCCCTAAAGTATTAAAAATTATTAATAAAATGAAAATTATTGGAACTACATTAACACAACATATTATATTATAAAAAACAAATAAATATTATAAATTTTGTCATGTACCCATATCTAACTAATCTAACAATCTACATAAATATTATCAAAATGTACATTTTGTTCTTTGCATCATTCAATATTCTAAATCATTTTTATTATCACATTTATATAAATATACTACTCAATTGCATGGCATGATTTTTACATACAATTAATTCACTACAAAAATCACCCTTATTGCTTTGAATTAAGGCAGCTTCCAAAATCACTCTTACACTTACTCTAAAGTTTGTACAAAATATCTTGGCCTTACTAAAGTGCTTATCAAATTGTCTATCTCACTCACTCTTTACTATTTGTACATATTCTTATCCTACTCACACTTATAAAACAAACTTTGGATAAGGCAAGATAGATTGAACATTGTATATACATATTTGGTTGATTACATAAAATCTAGTCTTAATTTAATAGTTCTTGCCGGCCAAAATGGCTTGGATCTGGGAAACAGTCTTACCCTTGGTCTCAGGGATGAGGAAGAAGACGAAAATGGTACCAAGGATCATGAAACCGGCAAAGAACCAGAAGCAACTGTAAATGCCGATAGCCACTTGCATGATGGGGAAGCAAAGAGTGACCACGAAGACCAGCATCCAGTTAATAATGACCGTAATACCGGTGGCCGTACCGCGGTACTCCACGGGGAAGAGTTCAGCCATCATCATCCAAGGAATGGGACCGAAACCCATGGAGAAAGACACGATGAAGAGGATTAAACAAACTAGAGGAATCCAGCCGAAGGAACTGACGTTGTAGCCATCTTTCTGCATCTTGAAGTAGATACCAAGGATGATGAGGCAGAGACCCATGATGCTAGTACTTTGGAGGAGCAGGATCCTACGGCCAGCCTTGTCAACGAACACTGAAGATAGGTAGGTAGCAATGGTCTGAACGACTCCAACAATGATGGTGGCGATGACGGGCGAGATGTTGGATCCCGCAGAGTGGAAGATGTTGTTGGTGTAGAAGATGACGGCGTTGATTCCACTGAACTGCTGGAAGAACATGAGGCCCAGACCACAGATGAGGGCCATGCGAGGTGCCTTGTTCGTTAACATGCTTAGCGCTCCAGCTCGTTGACGAGATGCATCGTCGACCTGAAAAGATAAATAAATAATTTTAGTTTATCTATCAAGCGTACTGAGAAATTAGTGTTTTTTTTTGTCAGGGGTAAATTATTCAATGATTGATTTTGTTTATCTTTTATATATATCTAATATATATCTATATTAACATAGTCTGGCCATAAATACTGTTACAATTAAAAATAAACAAAATATTACATTTGAATTTGGTATCTGTCATTTTTATATAATTTTTCATTGTGTTTTCTTATTTTGGCGCCAATAAATTTTTCAATATTTTGCGATATTAAAATGGAGTGGGGTGATAAAGAGAACCGAATCGATGTGATTGCATTACACAAAGTGGGTATGGAGCCAAATGCAATTTTAAAAAAAACTCCACACGCTTGGCATTAGTCAAATGTTTGTGTACCGGGCTATTAAGAGGTACAATGAGACCTCCTCTGTTTGTGACAGAAAAAGATCTGGCCGTCCACGTAGTGTTCGTACGAAAAAGGTAGTCAAAGCAGTAGGTATATATGTTAATCTGTTTCTATGTCCCGTGAGTGTGTCCGTGGCATCACCAGGCTCTATCAGAATACCAGCGCTGCGGTACTTTTACCTACTGGTGAATTACCGCAGCATATGCTGAGATAGTGGCCTTTTTGACCTCGCTCTTTTATTTTGTTTTTTTTTTTTTTTTTTTTTGTTTTGTTGTTTTTTCTTTTTGTATATATAAAATGTAATTGTACAATCAATCTGATACTACAATCAAGTGGAGCCGAGCAGCGAGTGAAACAGCGCGGGAGTAGCTATATAGTTTTCAATAAAGTTAAGAATTTTATTTATTTATTTATTTATTTATTTTCCAAAACTTAGACTATTTTTACAGGTTTTGTACCCAATGCAATAGCCTAGCTTATATGCCTAAACAATAATATCTACATATCCTTACTTGACTACAGTTTTATAACATATAACAAACAAAGCTATCCTTGTGAATTCATTAACAAAATTGACTGGACTAGTAGATATTTTATGATTCATGAAGAGACTTACATCTTTCTGCATATCTTCCAATTCAGCAGTAAGGTCAGCGTCAGGTCCTCGCAGCCAACGTAGGGACTTCTCCGCATCACGTCGTCTGTTCTTACCGAGAAGGTACTGAGGGGTTTCCGGCATCCACCTGGAATTGAGAACGAATTTAACATGAGTTTATTGATTTGTGTTTAGTTTACGGCATGGCACGCGTGTAGTTGGGTCAGGTCATGTGCACATAATTAAAATTTTTTCGTCAATCACTCTATCTATTAAAAAAATGCATCAAAAGACGCAGCGCAGTTATGAAAATTAAGGATACATAGTGATATTATATTAACAAACAAAGCGACTTTGTTTAATACTCGATGCACTCGACACTCGTTGTGTTTCGCGCAATGCTGCTCATGGCTATGAGCCTCTACCGTGGCTTGAAACTAGACGAGTTCCTCGCTAAACAGTGACGTGAGTGAGCCATTAAATATATTTATTAAATACACACTTATTAACATAAATAACTTTTTAACGTCGACTTTTCTATCCCGTTATCAACAGTACCAGTTCAGATGCAATTAATATTAACATTTCCCCTTCGAATAACCCGGTTGTGTCATATTTACCTGACATTGTAGCAAAGGTAAATGCATTTGCAAGTTATTCTTAGCACCTACAATGCAAGTGAACTCTGTCACTTTATTAACATAAAAATTATCATAATTGTTGTTTGTTTGATCCAAACATTGCATGCATTGTTAACTTTTGTTTTTTAAATCAATATTTGTGCTTGAATTTTAGTTAAATAACACAATCAGTGTAAGTACCTAACTTGGTGGCCGGGAGGTTAAGACACCCGCTTCACATAGATGAGAGTGCGGTTCGAAACCTGGCAAATACTAATGTGACTTTTTCCGAGTTATACAGGGTGTAAAAACTACGTTTAAAAAAACCGACTTCAAAAACAAAAAAGTGTTAAATAATTAAAATAGATATTTTAATAGCACTCTTACGTACGCGAAGCTAATACTTTTAATATTAATAATAAAACACTATCAACTCTATGTGCTACCTATTCATAGGTTTAAAGTCGGTGCCAAGCCTAATACATAATATTATAAGCATTTGATTGATGGCCTTAGCGTAGAATCAGAAGTCTATATTGTTTCGTTACATGCGAAATTATATATAGCTTAGAAAGATATTCGGGTGAAATATGAATTCTAAAAGTTTTCTCGTACTTAACGTAACTCGTGGGTTGTTAAAAGTAGTAGTAGGTATGTTCGTTGTTGGTTGTGGAAATTTCGTCCTTTAGCAGTTAAACAGTCTTAATTCTCATTTAGTTTTATTCTGTTTAGAGCTTGGCACCGACTTCAAACCTATGAATAGGTAGCACATAGAGTTGATAGTGTTTTATTATTAATATTAAAAGTATTAGCTTCGCGTACGTAAGAGTGCTATTAAAATATCTATTTTAATTATTTGACACTTTTTTGTTTTTGAAGTCGGTTTTTTTAAACGTAGTTTTTTTTATTTTTTACTTTTTAGTGTCTGTTACAAGTTCTTCTGTAAACTACAGTAACATTTTAAATATAAATTAACATATTGAATAGTATATATATTTTTAAGTAGCTATGTGTAGGCCTACGAAAGGAGCCGCTCTATTAAAAAATATAGATCCCAAGAAACGGGAAAGTTCTCATCATCATCATCATCATCATCAGCCTTTTTAATGTTCCCACTACTGGGTCACAAGCCACCTCTCTAGGAGAGGGAAAGTTCTTATCAATATAAACAAATTAAGTCGAAACACGAGGTCGCTACTGTAAACCGTTGAGGAGTTCCCTAGACTGTCCTTCGTCTTGATCTCTAATGATAGTCACAATCCATCTAGATGTAAAGTTATTATCAAAACCAATTAATTAAGCTCAAACACAAGGAAGCTGTTATGAATCATTGAGGAATTCCCTCGACTGTCAATGGTCTCCATCGTCAGGTACACTGCAGACCTTCAGTTGTTATAATCCATACAGGTACAAAGTTTTCATCAACATAAATGAATTAAGTTCAAACACGAAGTAGTTAGTGTAAGCCGTTCAGGAGTTCTCTGAGCTGTCCTTCGTTCTCATCATCAGACCCTTAATGATAGTTACGACCAAGTCTGGTGCAAAGTGCTCGCCAATACGAATCATTCAAGCCCAAACACAAGGCAACTGCTCCAAATAGTCAAGGAGATCCCTCGACTGTCTTCCAGCTCCAACATCTGGTCGACTTCGACCTTCGTCAAGTTGTAGTGTTGTTAAAGGCCTACTTAAACATCATACAAAAAAACTACTCGCCCCTACAATTTTCGAAAATTCCTCTCGGTTTCTCCAGGATTCCATCATCAGGTCCTGACCTCATGACAATGGGACCAATTGGCAAGTATACCCTATCGAATAAAAAAAAAATTTTGCAAATCGGTCCAGGCGTCTTCGAGTAATCGGTGTACATACATAAAAAAAAACCTCCTCCTCCTCCTTTTTTTGAAGTCGGTTAAAAAGACACTTAACGAAGCCGAAAGCCACGTATTCTACCCATTATTTGGAACATTTTTTTCTTTAAGACCATAGCTGGGACTCCACGGGTTCTCGACATATTGAAGGTCAAAGATGCATTTTTAATTATTATTTTTTTTGCGCAATCGAATTCTAAGTATTATTACAAAACGTTTTTTTAAACAAACGTTTTTCTAAATAAATTACGCATTTGAAGTTACGAACAGTAATGTACGTAATAAATAAATGCAGACCCGCACAAAAAACATCGTGCATCTCAGTAGGATTTTTATTTTACAGAATTGTTTTGTTGTTGCGAAGTAAAACGTCGACCTACTTATGACAGCGTTTTCATGCTAAGCTGTGAACTTACGCACACAATGACTCGAAGCCCGTTTGTTTTACATTGCGCGGACTAAGAAATCTGATAAAGGAAGTGGCTTATTATTAAAAAATAGATAGTCATATAGCAGAAACTTTAAACAAATTCTATATAGAATTTTCACTATCTTGAAACTTAATCGGTGACCGAAGACTTATAAATTGTGCCCTTTCTAACACGACTAGGGTGATCTAAAAGCAGGAAATAAGACTTGCAATAAACATAAAAAGAAACAAGAAACATAACATGCATACCCTGCAAACATTCCTATTTTTAAATTTAAAACTATTTTGTATAGCTATTCAGAAATCAAATAATAGCTATAAAAAGCTACTCACCAGAAAACAGCAACCAGGAGGACAGGGAAGACAGCCGAAATGATGGAGAGGGTTCTCCAATGTGTGCAGCCACCGACCACGAAGGTGAAGAGGATACCGACAGTCAGGAACAGCTGGAAGAAGGCTCCCAAAGACCCTCGGATGGACGTCTCTGCTATCTCACCGATGTACATTGGAGCTGCCACACAAGCACCACCTGAGAACCAAATAGTTTAAGAAAATTTAGGAAATTGTGATGAAAATTTATTGATTTATTCGTTTATGCACACAAAATGACATTTAAACACAATACACATAATAACAAACAATATAAAGGTACTGCATATTCCTAGAGGGACTTCTTCCTGCAGACCTCTGAGAGGGCAAGAGTTTTGAAAAGAATAATCTAGTCTAGACATTTGGAGACTGTTTAAGGAAATAACTCTTGGTAACTTTAGTATTTCCTCTATAACATTCTGTAGATACCTCAGCCAGAACCTTGTTGATAGCAAACTACAAACATGTGAAGCTGGTGGCATTTATTGTGATACAGAAGTAAAATCAAAGCACCACTCGATCAAAACTCAGGAAGGATGCACAGTCTCTGATCAGAATGCTAAGAAATTTTTATTTTAAAACTGGTCTACTATATCAAAGACTTACCAGTAGCCAATCCAGCGAAGAACCTCGCAGCAATGAGCATACCAGCTCCATTGGCGAAGATCGTGAGCAGCCAGTTGAGGAGGAATGGTATAGAGAGGATGAGCACGGTCGGTCTTCTGCCGATTTTGTTAGCTAGCACACCGACTGGTAGAGCACTGATCGCTGCTCCAATGGCTAGGATCGAAGATACGAGGGAACCTGGAACAAAATATTTTGAAATTAGTATTGCATTTCGAGTTTATTGATGTACCATTTTTTATGGAATAGTAGGCAAACGAGCAGACTGATCGCCTAATGGTAAGTGATCAGCGCCGTCCACGGACACCTGCAACACCAAAGGAGTGACAGACGCTATGGCTAACGCACGCATCGCATGTTTCTTCAACGTTTGAAGTTCGTGTCGGTTTGGAAATACCGATGCTGAAAGATAATTCCAAAGTTTTGCTGTGGGAGGCAGAAAGTTTCGGGAAATCGCACTGTTCGTGACTGCCACCCATCTGTATGACGGTAATGAACATTTTTTCGAACTTTGAAGAGACCTATGTTATTAGAAACCTAAACAAACTCAAGATGATGAATCATAGTAATAATTGGACTATGATGCTGAATAATGGTCACATTAACATTAATTGATTTTACGACTTATTTATTTCGAGCTATTTTAAACCGTGTCGTTGCAATAAAAATATATATAAAAAAAAACAATCGATTTTTAATTATTCCAAAAAATTATTCAATTTCACTGGTTAACTCCGCCCCTAAGACGACCCACTGACCAAGTACCCAATTGAAAAAAAAAAGATATAGTTTTTTCTTATAAAAAATTCCATTTTTTATTTGAACAGAGGAACGAAATCAGAGCATGTTAAATCAAAGCTAACAGTAAACCAGTCAAAATAAAAACATAATACACAAATTCCTAGCAATAAGATAAGCTACATGAATACACAGAAACTACCAAATTAGCCACCGGATGACGTAGTATCGTAAACACATTCATATAGCTACTATACGTAGGTACAATTCAGAATATCATACGTTAGGATGTGGTCCTACTGTTGACGGGAAGCGACTAGACTGACTAAACAACGAGACTTCACCGACATTACTTATTTTTAAAAGTCATGGTTATTTTCACTGTTGTGGTAGGTAGATTCCAATTTCAAACTGCCATTCTACAAACATATGATTAGCAGTGGACAAAATTACTGATGAGTTATTACAAAACATAGATTCGCATGGAAGAGAAAAATCTCGCGTTACTTTTAAAAGAAATCAAATGGCATAAATGTTCATGGAAGACAACACGTAACAATGTTTAAAGCCATGATTTAACATTCGTGTGTATAAATGTCAATATAAGATTTATTGCTGCTTGCTGTTAAATTTTTAATGGCTCACTCATCTTGTTCGTCGTTGATCGCTAGCATTGTGACCGCTGGCTTACTAAAGCGTTGGATTACGCAACCTGGGGGCTTGCCAGATAACGTCAGGCAAATGCCCTTTATAACGAGATAAATATATTTGTTACACGAGTCCATTAACAGGGTTAGTAACCTATACGTCACGATCAATTTTGTGAGTTTACTGGTTTTATTCTCGGGTTGTACAAAGTCTTGTCATTTGATTGCATAGCTGACAATTTAGCTGGGGAACCGACTGCCGTGTATCTTGTCGCAGGATCGATTTCCGCATGGAAGAACTCTTTATGTGATTAACAAATAGTTATCCCGTCAATGATTTTATTATGATTAGATTTTTTTTTTTTGACTTCTGTCGTAATCTGGGGGCAAACGAGCAGAAGGATAACGAACGGACACCCGCAACATCAGAGGATTGCATTGCCGGCCTTTTGTGAGTTAAAGAGGAGAAGATTGGAGATTGGGCATTGGGGATTGAGTAGAGAAAGGATTGAGTCTCCAGTAACTCCACTGACACGGCATTGGGTCGACAAACAAGTAGTCAGATTATAGATGGTAAGCAATCGACGCCGCCCATGGACGCCCGCTACTCCAAAGGAGTTACGAGTGCGTTGCTGGCCTTTGGGGATTGCAGTTTTGGGTATTTAAGGATTATGCAGCTATACTTATCTCTACTATGATGAAGCAGCGTGCAGTCAAGTCTTATATTTGTTTTACGTAAAATTTTACCCTGACGGATAATATTACACAGCACGCATATATCGAGAATTGGGTTTTCCAATACGAAAATATATATCTGTACCACGATTGTATTTATAAATGTAATGGAATTTCACATTATTATTTCTCCTTTTGAACACTCACACACATCGTTTCACCGTTTTAACGAATGGTAACAAATTTCTATTATTGGGTTTTCCATTTCTGTTATTGGGACAATCCCACCATAATCTCCCAGAAATGCTGAAACTCTTATAAGTCAGATACACCGAAACACTGAAGTCCAGCTCGTCCCAGAGACATGAATAAATCACAAAATATTATTTGCGGAGAAGAAGAAACGGTAAGTCGATATATTTAATGCAGGAGACGGATGCAAAGGTTCTCCTGAAAGATAATCCATATTTTCTGAAATTGATTTTAATGAAATTTTGAACGCTAGCATTAAAACGAAATCGAAAGAAAGACAAGTTAAAAAGTAACTTTGGAAAGTACCTAGCTGTATAAATAATTCTTGGGTACCAAAGGACCAATCTGACAATGATTTAAAAAAAAACTAGGTATTTTTCAATCGTGTTTAAAAGAATACAAGAACGCACTGCAACATTCTTATATATAACGTCAGTTGTGTCTACTCCAAACTGCAATACAGCTTACACGCCTACATGAAAAGATCTGTAGACAAATAATGTGGGAACATAAAATTTATTGTTCATCCTAATGGTACGTCTATTCCAAAGCTTGCCAACTACTCTCTAGTTTCTTATGTCACATGAAATTTTGTTTATGTAATAGGAGGTAAAGCGATTAGACGGATCACCTGATGGTAAATGCTCAGCGCCGCCCATGGACATCCGCAATAGCTAAAAGAGCCACAGGCGCGTTGTTGGCAGATTTCGAAGAAGGGGTAGGCGTGTTTTTTGAAGCTTTGAAGGTCGTATCGATACGGAAATACCGACGGCAATAGCTCATTCCTAAGTTCCAAAAACCCACAGTTACGAAAATCCTACAGTTGTTTACTGCCAAACATGTTTATGTTCGGAATGAAAGTATTTTCGCCTGGATCCGATGGAAAATTTACAGCGTGGATCAAACCTAACTCTCAGAACACTCTCCGTGGTACACATATATGATAGGGAACACATTGCAAGAAATCATTCAGAAAGCTAGTGAGACTTTTGTTGAGGGTAGGAGGGGAAAATCCTTAATTGACTTCTCTCCCCGTAGGCTTTTTATATAAGTGTTGTCCATAAATCACAATAACCTGTTTATACGTATACTATAATTCAATTTTGAATCATTATTCTTCTAATACTATTAAAAAAATAGTTGTTCGTTAGTCTCCCTAAAACTCAAGAACGGATGGTTCGATTTGGCTAATTCTGGTCTTGATATTTGTAGAAGTCCCTGTATTTAAAAAGGTTAGAAAGCATTACTTAGTTAATTTTGAAGCGATACAGGAATCACTGGCTCAACTAGCTTTGAGATAAAAATAATAATTATACATTCAGATACATAGGTGCTTGTTTATAATATTTCAATAATCTCGCATATCTTACATTGAAATAGACAGAAGCAATTGTGGAATGCCAAAAAGTAAAATTGCAGTCCATTTAGACCATTAGCCGTACTCCCATAACGTATACAATTACCGAAGAATTCGAAACTCTTGCGCAAGTAAACAGGAGCTGGTTAACGAGATAAGATTACGGTTATTCTATTGTTTGTTAGTAAAACTGTTTAGCATGGGGGCGTGTCTTGTGAATCGGTCTCGTGACGTCCACGTCACTGAGTCGTGTGCCAAGAAAAATGTTTTCATCGTAAATATTTTTTTATTCCGCATACAGATTAACGATGTCTCGAATACCGGATATTTTAGTCTGTGAAAATCTTAAATGTGCTTTATGCTTTTTAACAGTAGTCGCAAATTTGACTGCCCCATCCCTATTTTGCGTCTAGTTACTTTTTCCTATGGAATCGGAGGCCAACGAGCTGATGGATCACTTGTTGGTGAGTGATGAACTGCTCATGGACAACCGCAACACCAGAGGAATCACTCTTTTTCCTTTATAATTCTGGACTTAGCTTTAAGTGACAGCTGCACTCACATACATTAAATGTTTACTTAAATAATTAATCCTTAGTAATAATTTTGTTTGGAAAACAACTACTTTGGACTTGATTAGTAACCTCTATGTGTTTACGGCGTCTATTCTCTGGATTTAGCATATTTCAATAATGGGACTTAATCGAACGTTAATATGATTAAAGCAGCCAAATTACCTGAGCAATTGGCACTGTCTATGAATGGTAAGGGCCTTTTGGGGATATGGAAGGAGGGGAATGATTGTAATTTCGGTAACCTCACTCACACAGTCAAAAAAACACACAACTTGGGTGGGGTGATATATAAATTGCGTAGGTATAAAAATAATTACGTATTTTTATCTTCCTCTAAATACTTATTAATATACACATCGTCTGCGTACTTCTCCAGAGAAAAAAACACATGATGTCATTACACGATGTACGTTTAAGCTCTGTCTACATAATACATATATTATGTCCAAAAATACTATATTTCTTTTGCCAGGGCCATTGACTTCGAAGCTATGAGAGGCAGAACTGGCGAACGTAATTACTCGTGAAGGTGCTAGATATTTTTGTCCAGTTGGTACCTGAGTTGACATGATGTTATCTCATCAGACGTTTCACGTTACTTCAAATCATCAGCCTAAAAGTGCCAACTGTTGAGCAAATGTCTCATCTCACACGAAGAAACAACGTATTACCTGATGGTAAGCAATCAGCGCCGCCCATGGACACTCGAGGGAAGGGGGGAAATGAGGATTAAAGATGGGAGAGTAAGAATTTCGATTAGAATGCAAGAAATTTCTGTTTATAACTTCTGCAATTCGGAAGTAAATATTGCGAAATTTAATTATAATATTTACTTGTTGTGTTATATAAGTATAAATCAATGGTTGAGTTTGTTGTATTTGGCAATCATACGTAAAAGTCACTCTAAAATTATTGTGTAAAGTTCAACGAATAAAAGTTAATACTTACCTATAATGGGATTTTTTATGGTAACCGGATTAAAAACAGGAAGGAAGATGTAAAATAAAATACAGATAACAAAAAATACTTCTCAGCGTTCCCATAAAACTTGTTAATGGTGGGTGTGTGCGTTTGTTTAGTATGAAAATAGATCGCAGATGGCATGCCAAACGCCCACTGCGTTGTCGGCAGTTTGCAGTCGCGATTTTGTAAATATAACTTGTTTTCAGCATTATTACTGGACACAACTGGTTTCTGATGACTATTACCGCATCGTTTACATAATGTTTGCAAGGTTAACTGGGCAATAGAAACTTTATATTGATCTTAACAGTGATTAAGAAATAAGTATGTCTCTCAAGATAGCAATTATTATTCTACCAATGAAAAACAATTCCACCATTTTTGTTTAGGAGCGACAATCATCATATGTTTTTAGGTCTACAAACGACCAGAAATTACCTGATGGTAAGCAATCAACGCCGGCAATTGACACCAACAATACCAGAGGAGTAACGAGTGTGTTTCCGAACTTTTAGGGATTGAGGTTTCGGAATTTAGGTATTGGACCTCTCCCGCCCCGGGTTTAGCGAAAGGGAGTGTCAGACTGACTAAAAATCACCCTAATCCTTCTTCTGTCTGAAGCAGAAATTGCCATATCTGCGGTGGTCAGATGGCTGTTTGAGATTCTGCTATTCCGGTTACGGTCGAGCGCCGAACTACCCTTGCTCGCCGTCCACAAAACTACAATACCATTCTTCATTGCGGTAATTTTAATACTTGCATATGTATCAAGGGCATTTTGCCTTTTCAAGTGGTACCTACGTGCAAAATCTACAATATTTTAGATTCAATGACTTTCAAACTTCGTCACATAAGGTAAATCCCAAATAAATTGATTGCCACATGAAATACGTACGTATTTCATGTAGCTATCTTATTCGAGGAAAACAAAATATCCATATTTAAATAACGTAACAGCCAAAACTAAAATTTTCCTGTTGTTTAATAAATAAGTACTTTAATATTGAACTCATTATTCATTATTTCGGACATTCATCATTTAGTATACTAATTTTAAAGTGTTTTCCTTAGTTATGGAAAGAGGTACTGTCTACAAGCTTTTTTCTGCTTGAATTCCATAATATTAAATGAGAGTAATTGTTAATGAAATAAACTATTATAAATTTGTCTTCGACACTACTTTTCACATTTATGTATCTAACTTTGGTGTAATTTTGAAATGTGGAAGTACCTATCAGAAGCAAAATGGTAATTCCTAAAGCTGTACTCCTCTTTATACATAAATGTGAAGGCACCGGGGGGTTGGTACAAACATCAACATCCCGATCATCGTCTTCACAGTTCATCGTAGGGCGTAGGATTTTATAATCAGGCCGAATAAATTACAAAAATAACGGACGTCGGCGATCCGTCTCCTATGACAGTCACAGCGCTCGCTCTCCAACATAATGCGCACGCAGAACTGCCAGTTTGACGTTCCGCCAGAGTACGATTTATGGTACCCTCGTCCGATGAATTGTGATAAAACCTCCTTCAAAATTCAATTGAAATAATCGTCGCTCCGACAAATGGATAAAAAGAAATGTTTTATTTTTATTTGTAATTAGAACCATAGAAAATTAAAACCACACACCACACGTGATAGAATTTAAAAATAGGAAACGTTTGTAACTTATATTGATAACAAAATACGTCTATCCAGCAAGAGTTATCACTTTGGATTCGTCAGTATGACTCGATAATAAAGTATTATAGACAGTCAAAATTCCAATAATAGCATGTAACCTGAAATTATTCCTTGTGAGTGAAGTTTCCTGAGGCCTAATCCTTCCTCTCCCGCATCTCTCCTCAAAACCTCTTATCCCCATGATGCCGGCAACGCATTTGCAACTCCTTGAGTGTCTATGGGCGGCGCCGATTGCTTACCATGGTAATCCCCGTTAGTTGGATAACCAATTTGCCAGGATTATCACATTAAAAATCAATAAGACGCATAGCCATTCCAATGAGTATAAATATTAATAATATTTTTTCGGCTTACTCACGTAATTATTTGTCGGGGAACTCGACTAGTTTCAAGTCATGCTAGAGGCTCTTATTCATATCAGTATATTATTTATTTCTAGCAGTAGCAGCGCGACGCTGCTTATAAAGGCTGCTTAATTTTGATAAAAAAAGTACAAATATTCCCTAATTTCTCACAATCCCAACGCTGTTCACAATCTTAAAAACCATAATTATCTCCCTTTAATATTTCTTTCTTTTCAAACATTCCCTATATATATTTCCTCCTAACTACACCGCCCACGTGGTGCTAAGCCCGTGACCTTCCCAAGGTTACGGGCGACCGTGCGGGAAGGGGACCGGCCCACGCAGTCTACCAAACTACAAACTCTTTCCACTTGAGATTTCTTTCAAGTCGAGTATTGAAATAGAAAATCTTTGATTGTTTTTTATGGCAACGGCAAAAGAATATATAAATTACCTAATGGTAAGCAAACATCGCCGCCCACAGACAACCATAACGACGAAGGAGTTACAAATGCATTGGTGACCTTTTGGGAATTTGGGATTGGATAAGGGAGAGGATTGGGCCTTCGGTAACCTCATTAAAGGGTGACACTTTCAAGGGTCAAAAGTCAAAAGTCAAAGTGTAAGCCATACACTTTTCTGTGAAGTCACCCTTGAAAGTGTTCATCATCATGAGGTTGCCGGATGCCCAATCCTTCCCCGCCCCCAATCCCTCCTCAATCCCTAAATCTCCAAATCCCTAATCCCTAAAAGGTCGGCAACGCACTCGTAACTCCTCCGTTGCGGGTGTCCATGGGCGGCGCTGATTGCTTACCATCAGGTAATCCGTCTGCTCGTTTGCCGACCAATTACATAAAAAAAAACTTTTATTAATCCATCATGAAACATGTTTATTTTAAACAAAGTCTAACATTAATAACTCATTTATCGTATTTGAATTACCTGATGGTAAGCAATCAGCGCTTACCATGGACATTCGCAACACCAGAACAGTTACACGTACCAAAGCGTTACCGGCCTTTCCCCAAAGGGGGATAAGAGTTCTGGAGCTACTTCATGACTAATAATTATAAATAATGACGTTAATTACAATGATGAAGATGACCACAGTTATGTGGCAAATGTTTTATCCCCAGGTGGAAGTTCCAGTGATGATTCAAGTTACTACAAGTAGAATTACAAAACAGAAAGATCAGCTTATTCTCGTTTTAAATACGAAAATAAATCTGCAACATTGTATGTGTTGATTAACATACTCGATGCAGTTATACCTAACATACTGGATGCAGTTATACCTACTCGTGCGTCCTTAGACGCGGACGGAAAATCTTATGAATTTATTTTAGGATGGAGGAAAATATTTGGTTTATAAGCATCATCAAATGGAACTTTTCAATAATTGGGAAGTTAAAAATAAATAAATTCGACGTTTCAATTAAACAAAATATTGAAAAATAATTACACTTTTATTCATCGATCGATCGGTAAACTACATTTTAGGTAATTTTTAGAAATAAGTAAATAATTTTTAACGCAATATAATATTTATAAATACTATGACTTCATAACTCAGTGTTTTATACAAATTACATAGAAAAGTATCGTTTTTGACATTTGAATAGAAAGTATTGAATTTGACTAGTTGGAAACTACCATATTCTGCCTGGACTTTCGAAAGTTATAGTGTAATAAAGAAACTCACATACATACATACATGAAGCATGAAAACATAACACTCCAATTTTGGGCAGTCGTGTAAAAACGTATCCCTTGAAAACAGAATGTTTTGTGAAAAGTATTGTAATATCTTTAATTCCTTACGTTATTATTATCAACTGATTGACCTATGAATAACAATCAACAAAATAATTCAGACCACCAAAGAGCTTAACCGGTCGATCTAGAAATCTCGTGGCTCATATGGTACTGATTATGATTAAAAGGTACATCTATTTGGTCACAATAACGAAAACAAGCAATATATCTTGAAACTTTAGCTTTTAAATAGCAAAATTTGCACGTAAAAACATGATGATTTATTTATTTAAGAACAACCAACAAAGCACACACCAGAAAACAAATGTTATAGCACTCACATAATTACATATTGTAGTGTAGCCTTAATTAAAGGCTGCCACGGCGTGCATTTAACATAGGAGTAAGAAATACTGCTTATAAAAAATATAAAAATAGAAACTGACCTCTGAGTTGGTTTCGGCATTTCTTCTCAGAGTAGTCAGATAGGAAATGCCGGCTTCATCTAGTTTTTCACATATAAATTGACGTGTAAAAGTGCCGTTTTATGGCCTATTTACAAAAATAAATTCATTGTTTCATTTGTTTCATCATTGTTATGGACAATGATAAGTACAGCAATGTCATACATTAAATTGACATATTAAGCATAGATCAATATCTGGGTAGTTTCCTAGGTTAAAAATAAATTAATTCGACGTTTTAATACGATAAAATATTGAAAAATAACTATACTTTTATTCATCGATCGATCGATACACTAAGTTTTAGATATTTTTTAGCTAAATTTTTAAAAATAAGTAAGCTATTTGATGCAAAAATGCTATGACGTCATAATTCAATGTTTCATACAATTTTCATAGAAAAGTATCGTTTTTGACATTTGGATAAAAGTATTGAATTTGACTAGTTGGAAACAACCGTATTGTAGGTAAGTAAAAGAGATCGTGTCAAATAACGCTGATTTATTCGGTCTAACTAGGTACTCTGTGCCGACCTAAGAACAATTATAAAGAAAACCTAAGTAACTTTTGTATTATAACTTACCTATTGTGACTTTAATACTGTTGTATATCCTGTTTCACGCTTATCTTACTATAACTAATATATGTAGGTACATATAAAATACTTTATTCTAATTTCACTTACTTTGCGTGGTGTCCAAAATGAATTCAGCGGGTTGTCCTAAGGAGTTGACCAAGCCTGTGTAATTCTCTGGTAAGACTGGGCCCGTTACATTGGCTGTGGAGTTTGAGACCGAGCCGTTGACTGCTGTCACGTTCTGGTATGGTTCCAGCTGAGGTAGGGCTGGTGATGTCCATGCTAGGATTGTTCCTCCAGCGACGGCCGCTATCGCAGCTGTGGACAAAAGAAAATTTGAACTTTCTATCGTGGTAATTTGGGACACAATAGTTAGACAATAGGTTGGCATTCGCTTGGGATTGAATGAATAAATTTTTTTATGGTATATGTCATCAAACGAGCGAACGGATTACCAGATGTTAAGCAATCAGCGTAACCCGCAACGATGGAGGAATTACGAGTGCGTTGCCGACCTTTTGGGGATTAGGGATTTGAAGACTTTGGGAATGGGGAGGGGAATTGGACCTCGGGTAACCTCACTCACACGGCGAACTACAACGCTGTGGTTTTCTGTGAGGCCGTGGTATTACTCCGGACGAGCCGACCCATTCGTACCGAAGCATGGATCTCCTACACTTAAAATAAATATGCTAAATTGCTTGTTGTTACGTGTAATCGTGGTAGTGAAGTATTTAACAAAAACAAAGGGTTCTGGTATTTAAACGGGTTGTTTTCCGTGTTCGAATCTTTTCTTTAATATTGTCTGAATACTTCTAAAATGTATATACATATATGATTGAAATACAGCTCATCCAAGAAATCTGGCGAAGAATATCAGTAACGTAATGAGTCTAAAAGTTTAATTAACTGTCAACTGTCACAGGCTAAGAAAAAATTGAGCATTAAATATATATAGGAGCACTTGTATATGCACGTAATTTTTCCCCGTTTTTCTTAAATCAGAAAGTCTGTAATTAGATAGTATTCAATGAGGGTTCTAACCATTATTAAGACACAAAAGACTCCAAAAGAAGGGAAAAGTCATATAATATTTTCACATATTCCTGTACGAGTGGCGCCTCTGTGCAGAGCCAAGAGCTACCGACCTAATATCTAAGTACTTCATCCGTAGCCAATACTGTATTAATAGAGTCGTCAATGTAACATTTATTTTTGTTTATGACTACTACTGATGATCTATGATCGACATGGCTTGTTAATTCTTCTGTTGTTTGTCTCTCGTTTTAAAAACTAACCTTTTTTTTAAGGAGGGAGGTCATCAAATGTTTTCTCGTCCAGGATGGGGCGAGAGAGAGTGTCAGACTCTAACTGACTAAAAAGCACCCCATTCCTTCTCCTACATTTTTTTTTCTTAAAAAAACGTTGGGATTAGGATTTTCTCCTGTGTCGTGGGTGCGGTTACAAACATACAATTTCACATACACATGACACCCAGACCCGGAACAACAATTTGTGGATCACACAAAGAGTTGTTCCGTGCGGGAATCGAACCCGCGACACGTTGCACGGCAGCCAGTTGCCCAGACACCGCACCAACCGTGCAGTCAAACATAGCAGTACATTCACCTTCGGACTTCCCGGCGTACGGCAAATATCCACCCTTACGTTGTTGAGACACCTGCGGTCATTTATACCGCGTACATCGAGGGATTGGGACAGTTTTCTGGTTGCAGGCTTTCCGTCCGAATATAATTTAGGTGCCTTCAAGGCTAGAGTGAATAGGCTCTTAATAAACTAGTGTGCCTTACCATCAGCGATTGGATCACTGCTTACCATCAGGTGGGATTGCAGTAAAGCACTAGTTTATTGCAAGTAAAAAAAATAAAAAAAAACTGTACAAAGTCAAAGTCAAAATCATTTATTCCAACTAAACCATAAATAGGTACTTTTGAAACGTTAAAATAGAGAAGTAGTCTGTCAGTCTGTTCGTCAGTGAAGCTAGGTGCTCATTCCAAATCGTAGATTTGAATGGAGAAGAACGAGCAAGAAACTCCATAAACTAAAAGAAACTACATTATTAGGCTTGCCCCGCAACCCTGGCTTGTAACTAACCGCTGAGAAAGCTATAAGTAAATAGATCTATAATATGTGTACCTATGTAAAATTATATGTTTGCAAATGCACCCGTTGGGGGCAGCGTTTTGTAAAAGAGGAAAAAAATATACTTTCCTTATTGATAGTTGCAAGCATTGCTGTCGAGTAAACTTTTACATACCCTATTTTTATTTACATACAACTACACACACATTTTATTATATCTGTCATGTGACGTACGAACTAAGAGACCCCGTTAAGCTCGAAACGGATCGGGCATTTCCGTTATGATATAATGAAAAATAATGTTTTTGAATTTCGTGACTTTCGTGACAGATACAAAAATTTATTGAAAACAACGAATCCTCAGTTAATTTATGTTATTTTCAATGAATATGGTGAAATCTTTTATCCTGGTTTCTAACAACATACATTTTACCAAGTTTTAGCCATATTTGTAAGCTAAGAAATAAACGATATTTTATTCTATTTTATTCCAAGCGGCTGTCTACGACTTGTTCTATTCCCGATCTGATTGAAGAAGATACGAAGGCCCAATCCTTCCCCGCCCCCAATCCCTAAATCTCCAAATCCCTAATCCCTAAAAGGTCGGCAACGCACTCGTAAATCCTCCGTTGCGGGTGTCCATGGGCGGCGCTGATTGCTTACCATCAGGTAATCCGTCTGCTCGTTTGCCGACCAATTACATAAAAAAAATATATGCCAATATGTCTCACCTGCTACGGCAGCTATATACTGATTGACTTTTCTTGTCTGTCCCCCTTTCTCTTGCACATCCAACATATGCATAGTAGGCTTATCCATCTTGATCAGCTATGGGACTCGCATTCTGAAACAAAAGATAACCTAGGTCACTAAGTTTTATGACCTTTTTGATTTCCTACCTATCCAAATCACAAAAGGATTGTGGTTTATAAAAAAGTTTTAGCTAAACTTGAAGATTTCTGAATAACTGGTATTAAAAAAAAACATTCATTCTTTTTTTTATTGACACGTGACAAAGCCATCGAGCTTTACGCCATTTTGAAAATATTTAAAAATGGAACTGCGTAGTATAATGTCTATAATATAATCGCTTACCGAATGAGACAAACAATATTGATATTAAAAAAAATACTTCTTTACGCTAAATTTATCCTAATATACGTAGTAATAAAACTCCAAATAGAAATGTGTTGGATATGTCACAAACGTCGTTACAATTCAAAGTACCTATCTATTAGAAGACCAGCCATATACTACCGTGTTTATAGGCAGGACTTAACATATGAAGAGGTAATAAATAAATATCAAAGATGTATCAAAGTAAATTATTACATCAATAAAGTCGGCACTTTGATTAGCTTAGGTGGTGCATTGGTGAATTGGCCTTACACTTACAAGTGGGACTGACGAGTTTCAAAGTAAAGTGTTCGAACTATTTCCGAAATACTTAGGGAGTTTTTAAAGTTTAACTGTTTACGGCACGGGCACGATGAAAGCCGTGAGACGATTTTAAAGGGTGTAGAGAGAGAGAGACATCATCTATAATTAACACCAGCCTGTTAATATCTTAGTGCCGAGAAGAGGCCTCGTCTCACGCGGGTTAGGAATGACTACGCTTGCTTATCAAGACGGGTTGACGATTACAAAGGTTTCCTCACGAAGAGCCAATAGACTACCGCAGACGGGGCCCTATAGGGCTAATGTTCAGCCGGGGTTGCGGGGTAATGAGTCACCGCGGCCTCAGCCCAGAGTAGGGGAAGGAACAGGGGGGTTTTAGTCAGTAAGAGTCTGACACGACGCTGGGCGGGAGAAGTCATTCGATGATTTTCCCCTCACAAAAAAAGTTTATCTCAGATGTTGAAATTAAAAAATATTCTTATACGCACCGTAAATAACTTGTTTACTTAAATAAGGCTAAAAACTATTAATTGACTATAAATATATTTAGCAACAAGTAAGTAAACACGAAATTTTACGACAAAAATTAACATTTACATTATATTTAGGACAAAATTAACATTACAAGTTACATTGGTATTTAATTAAGATTATCTGTGGAGTTAGCATATACATACGTCTTGCCCTTGGCTTGACCGCAGTGGGCCGTGCTAATATAGGCTTAATTGTGCTAATTTGTTCAACAAATAACCGGTCGCGAGTAACTTCTGTTATATGGAAAACATCTTTAAAGGGAATCTGTAACTTCTCTGTCATTTTTTTTTTACTTGCTATAAACTAGTGCTTGACTGCAATCCTACCTGATGGTAAGCAGTAATGCAGTCGTTGATGGTAAGGCGCACTAGTTTATTAAGAGCCTATTCACTCTAGCCTTGAAGACACCTAAATTTTAATTTGTGACTAACAAATAAGTATCACAAATATTAAGTGCTCATTATCAAATGCAAATCAAATTTAAAGTGGGAGAGCCATGCTTCGGCACGAATGGGTCGGCTCGACCGGAGTGATACCACGGCCTCACAGAAAACCGGCGTGAAACAACCACAACGTTGTGTTTCGCCGTGTGAGTGAGGTTACGGGAGGCCCAATCCTTCCCCTACCACAATCCCTTCCCAATCCCTAAATCCCCAAACTCCCAATGGTAATCCGTCTGCTCGTTTGCCGTCCTATCACATACAAAAAAAAATGGCTTCTCCTGCCACCGGCCCGCCCCGGGCATGAGGGATTGTCAGACTCTTACTGTCTAAAAATCACTCCGTTCTTCCTGCTCCAGGCCGAGGACGCGGTAGATTATTACCTTGACCCGCACCACCACCCGACCTTGACTGAACATCAACCCTATTGGGCCCTGGGGTAAAACTGGATGACTTAAACATAGACTGAGACTTCAAGCAACTGTTTCTAATTTGAGTAAGGATAAGAACGGGACTTTTTTGTGTGTTTTGGCATTCAATCTATTGATCGAAGTGATTATATTGTTCTGATTTCATTATATTTGTTAAAGATTTATTCGGTTGATAGGATGATAAAAATTATGGTTGTTTATTTCACAGTTTAGCAATATTATTTATTACTAGCTACTCTCGCACGGTTTCACCACTTAGGAATATTGTAGCTACCTATCAGTTAATTTTGGCAATCCGACCAGCGGTTCGAACGATTAACCCCTATATACTATATATAGTATATACTTACAAATTTATAAAAAAGTATCACATAATATCACATAATTATAAAAAAGTTTTCTGTTAAATTATATCATCCTTCTCTATTATACCTATATAGCATTAGGGATTCTCATTAGGTACTTTTTTTTTAAACTTTCGGTATAAAATTGTATTGTTACCTACGATGAGTTTATTTTCAAAATTTAACAAGTACCTAGGCTAATTATTCTAGACTACATTATCATATAGATATGGTACTAATTACAACATACAATAGTTTTGAAAAACCGATCCATTTTAATCGAGAATCGGAATCTCATAAATAACGCAACAGAATGTCCTTCCAAGACATTCCACGTCAGGCTCTGAGCCGGTAAACAGCTGCATTGTAACAGGGGTCAAATCAAACGCATTGTATTGCGTTTATGCGTTAACGAAGTTCAATGGAGCGAACGAACTAACCTCCAGTCATGCTCATCATTACAAATCCAGAACTGTTTTGTTTACTTATTGAAGATTACAAGGTTCTTTTTCCATTGGCTGCTCAAATAGAACTGTTATGATTTTTTTTGGTGTCTCATCATCATCAGCCTGATGAGCAAAGGTCTCTTCTCACACAGAGAAGGATTTGCGATTTAAAACTTACAATTGTAAATTATTAGTCTTGTAAAGTTTGCTCACGAAGTTTTCTGTCACCGTATATCGGTGGTGTCTAAATACAGTTCTAACAGACTTAACATAACGCGGCGAAAATCACACTGTTACTTGCCAGATTTTTAAAGCTTATCCTCATTCTTGGCAAGCAAACAACTTAACATACTGATAAAACTTCTTCTAAGAATACAGAGTATCCTAACATTGTTAAGAACAAATCAAAGATACGATAGGTAATTATTTACTGTGTACCTACTGAATGATCATTGCTAACAAGACGGAATAGACCTATCGATACTCAGGATCTGCAAATATTTGAAAGACAAACGGACAATGCACTGATGGCCTTGAACGCAGACCGCTTAAACTTGGACTCGCGTTTTCGACCCTAGGACTAGAAACAATAAAGTCTCTTATTTCATTACACTCGAGCATTTTTGGTCATATAAGAAAGAAGCCAAATGTTTTTTGGATATTGAATTGAACAAATAGTTCATGACATTGCCATTGTGATAAAAAAAAACTGTAGGTAAGTGAACATATTTCGCTAACTCATAGTTTAGAATAGGCTCAGCTAACTTGTACATCAGTCAAAATTAATCAAACCGTTTTAATTCAAAAACAATTTGTGACATTCATTCCAACAACCTTCTGTCAGAAATGTCAGAAAGAAATGTACAACTGCTACTAGGCTGTATTGCTGTTACTAGGTACAGATCTTATGTTTACACATAATTTTTTTTATCAAAAAAATCATGTTCTGTTTACACATTTAATTTTTTTATTGGAAAAATCAGTTTTTATTATATGATGGTCGACAAACGAGCGAACGAATTACCTGATGGTAAACAAACGGCGCCAGTGTAACGCCAGAGGGATTACGACTTATTGCCGAGGTTTTGGGGATTAAGGGTTCAGAGTTTTAGGTAGAGGTTGATTGGGTACAAGATACTAACACTTGTAGACCCTCACGGTTCTCATAACAAAGCGAGATTTTTCTTAAGTCTTCGTCTAAACCATTGAGCCAGTTTTTTTAAGTATTCCAAATTGAAGGTATGTAAGAATAAGATTCAAAATAGAAAACCAAAGGTTTAAATATAGACTAAAGATCTTGTTTTCTAATAAGCGGTACATAATTTGAATTTACGTAATACATAGCATTGATCTATGATTATTTAGACACCACTGACATACGGTGAAGGTAAACATCGTGAGGAAACCTGGACTTATAATTTCTAAATATAAGTTTGAAATCGCCAACCCGCATTGAGCAAGCGTAGTGATTAATGCTTAAAACCTTCTCCGTGTGAGAAGAGGCCTTTGCTCAACAGTGGGCACTTATAGGCTGATGATGATGATGATGATAATGATGATAGCATTGATCTTTTCTCTTCTATTCTATTCTATTCTATTATACAATCTCAGCAACATTGTATTTTACTAAAACGATTATGCCAGCAGCTTTATTCAATAATGTCCCATTTTGAAAGGAAATGGTCACTTACACCACTTTAACCACTTATACAGTTAACCTATTTGTTGGAGACAAGTTATGTGATGGCAGATCAGTCTTGTGAACAATATTCTTATTTTAGACTTCACTATATGTAGGTACCTATGTGGGTTGATAGTTACGTAGGAATCCTATTATGTAATTGCCCCCATAACAGTTATCTACTTTAGTCATAACGTCAACAAGTAGCACAGAACAAAGGCGGAGAATATCTATCGTTCTTTTTTTTATTTATTTTTTCATTTCAAATTTTGAATATCTATACGGTTGGTATACTTGGAGCAGCTCTTTGTGTGATAGACAATTTTTTTGGGTGTGTTCTTTCTAAACGCACTCACACAACACGGAAGAAAATCATATTGTAGGGTAGTCTTTAAAAGATAAACGTTATTATTACAAGCTTCTATTTAACTTGCAATGTTTTTTTTTCGATTACCAAATGGTTATCTAGCAACAAAATTTATGAAAGTAGATATTATCCTCAACTGATTGTGATGAAATTTTAACAACCATTTCGCTATGTCACGGCCCAAAAATGGGCTGACTTGACTA